GGGTGATTATTATACATGTGATCATGATAAGATTCAGAACTTTTTGCAAAAATGTGATATTTTTGTTGAGCTATCGATAGCAATATAAAAAAAAAACGGGTCGACCGATTCGAGCGCAAATTATTTAAAATAATTTGAAGTGTATAAATGTTTGTTTGAAATTGTTTGAAAGGTTTTCGAGGAAATCTCAAAAGGCACAATTTGTGTTCATGAACCATATCTTCTCATCAACCATAATTGTAATTATGTATTTCTACTGACAACTAAACAACTACTGAATGATAAAAGCACATATTTAGTGAGAAAACGTCCAGAATAAATAATTTTATATTTAATATCTTCCTTACTTCTTTTATTTTTGATAAATTGGTTGCTATGATATATATATATATATATATATATATAATATATATATATATATACATACATATATATATTCATAATTTAAATATATAATATACCAATGTAATCTAAGTGTATGTAAGAAAGCAGAGAGGCCCTCCATCAGCACAAGAATTCCAACGGTGAGAACGCCCCAAAAAGCAAACACCAACCACAAAGCAACTCCACCGACCCAGCCATCATAAACTAATCCTTGCTTCATAACCATATTCCATAATACTTCTGCTAATTCTATAATAAATAATTCAAAATTATGTTTTCTATATTAAATTAATTATTGTTTTAATATGAAATGTGTGAATTTAGCTTTGCTTAAGATTTGTCAGATAATTCCACATTATAGAAATAATATTCCTAATTCGTAAGTTGTAAAAAATTAAAAATAAATCTAAAACTGAGCATAAATGGCAAGCGCAAGCAATTCCGATGATTAATAAATATTCAGATCTAACATTTTTGAATATTCTAATTGTAAGTAAAACTAAGAAAATGTTATACTATCCTTTCGATAATTCTATTTCAATTATTAAAATTGTATCTAAAATATTTTGAATAGATGCTCAAAAAAATTACACCTTCAATTCTGTGTACACAGAAAGGATTAGACAAAATTAAGATCAATCGAATGCTTAATTTTTTAATTTTTATACAATTATAAAGTTAGTCTTATAATAAAACTTTTTTTTCTACTTAATTATTTATAAAAACAGATATATTGAGATTGTTTATAAAATAAAGGGCTCGTTCAACCGCCACGGAAAACTAATTAACGCGAGTCAATATTGATATTGTGAATTATTGAAATTGATGCAGCTGCTTTTAGGAAACATTAATGAAACATACATACATGTATTATTGACTATGTAAAATAAATTTTGATTTTTATTTATAATGCAGTCACATTTAATTAAATGTCTATTTACTTTTAAGAAGCATTGTCTTGCTTTCATTTAATGTGACCTTATTATTTTATTAGAATTTATTATCAATTGCAAATTTACATAAATTTTGACAAAGTCATTATATATAAATTATAATACTTACGGGCATGAGCCAACGACAGCGCCCAAAGACGCAAATAACTTGCAGTATGTGATACAGATCCCAGCACATACTCAATTGTGTGAATACCTTGATGAATAAAAATTTCGCTCATCTCAGTATTATCATCATGGCCATGACCACCTCCCTGAGCCGGTTGCTGCTGTTGGTTGCCCATTCCTTCTGCATCACCGTTTTCAGTTGCCATTTGTTGATGATTTGCTCCCAACAAGGCTTGTTTTTTCCGCATTTGCATGATGTAAACTGGCTTTGCAAATAACATCCATGGTACACAAAGCAAGGCCAAAACAACAAGGAGCTTTTGTAAACCCCCTTGACCACTGTACATGTATGGAGTTTCACATGCCAGAGAATGTGTTGATGGTTTGAATAAAACCATATTGATAAACGTTATAAGAATGGAGGGGGCACACTGAGGGCTTACTGGGATTTCTGTAAAAAAAATATTATTGTTAAGCAAAATATTATGAATGCAGAAAAAAATATATTTTGCTATATTTAAATTACAAAGTCAACACATTTTTTTAAAAAAATATTTCAGGATAAATGATATCGTACCTTTATCATTATCTGTAGGAAAATAAGTCACCCACTTAATAAACATGAGCAAAACCATATAAAAGAATAAGAAAGTCAGAAATATAATCTGCGGAATGAATTCACATAAAATACTGAGTTTATTTTTGAAATAGCTGAAACAAGCAAGACATTAGTATGCATAATATGAAACATTTTATGTGAAGTATCTAGTACATACTTGTAATTCCAAAGACTTAGTGAAACACCAAACAACATATGAATAACTCCAATAATAATTGATATTTTCATCTTGTAAGCATTTTGAAAAATAATTTTATTTGCAGATAGCTAAAATGTATAAATTCAAAATTTTAAAATTCATTTTATTTATGAGGAAAATATAATTAAACCCACCTGCCATACTGGGTCCAAGCCAATTGGATATGGCGTACCATCATACATATCTTTGTTTGCTGGATTTAGTTGTAATGCATCATTTGTTAATATCGTTGATAAATTATAGTTTGTAGACCAAGATGAGCCAAATATATTAAGCGATTTTGAGAAAATATCATTGTAAATGAAACCAGTATACATTGAAAATACTCCCATTAGAAAGATGATATAACGACCACCAAAAAATATATTCCAAATCTGTCGAATGAAATGAAAATTTATTTTATCAAAATATTTTCAAATATAATTATTAATATTTTAAGAAACAACTTATAAATAAATATTTTGTCAATAAATTCATAAACATCTCATTATCCATGATAATTATAAAAAGCATACTATTGATATCTTTCTGCAATGCAATTTCAGAAAAATCTCAAAAACAGTTTTATATTAATAATAGAATTGGCTCACAGACCTCATTATCCGTTTTCTTCGCTGCCAATGGTTTTTCCTTCAAAATCATCCATGCCCCAAAAAGTGCCATTATAGCTCCGTGACCCAAATCTCCGAACATAACGGCGAACAGGAAGGGAAACGTAATTATTGTGTAAGGAGCTATAAAACAAATACTATTAAAATAAAACAAAAATATTTTACAGTATAAATTCAATTAATCATTACAGCCAACAAAATTTTATTTTAGTAACCGCATTTTTTTTTTCTTTCGATATTTTATATAAATGACGACAGGTAGGTGTGAGATTCCAATGTTATAAAAAATATTACTTACTGGGATTTGCTTCTCTGTATGATGCAATACCATAAGCATCAATGAGTGCTTGAAATCCGCTAGTAAATTTATTTGTACGATTGTAAGTCGGAGGATCCTCATGTGTTTCCATTCTGTTTAGAATAGGAGGTACAGAACTGCCACTACGTTCCTTTATTACACAAATGAATTAAAAACCATTCAAAGAAAATCTTATGTAAATGCTTAGATAAAACTCTATTCTCATATAATGATTATATTTATTGAGAATGTTCATGCAAAATATTGAAAATATCAACAATGCAATTATTTTTCAGGTCAAATAATTTTTTAAAAATAGATACATCTACACACTAACCGTTCCTCTCCTAAGTGCTAATTGAATTGTTTCCAAATCAAGCACAGGTACCCAGCATTCAGCAATCAAACATTTTTGTGTTACGTCCAAATTGAACAAATTCAGTGTATGATAAATAGCTTTAATTTTTCGAACTTTAATAAACCAATTCATAATGTTCTTAGCAGCGGCGACCAGCACACGATGCCTGTGATCTTGAGTTTGTCCTAATACCTGAAAATAGTAATCAACTTACTAAATCGTAAACTGCAAAAATTAACAGACTATTGCATTGCATTAATCAGTTTGCAATCATTAATTAAATATAAGATTATAGACTGTCGATATACAGATTATAAACACCTTCCGCTGCAACAAATTGTTCTCTTTTTCTATAAATTTAGTATCAGCTGTGTAATCGTTATAGAGCATAGGTTCCCAAACTTATTTGTGCCGTGGACCCCTTGCGATGTTTTTCGTTTTGTTATGGATCCCCTATCTTTACTTTTTGATTCATTACTATACTATATCAGAAACTATATTAGAAAATGTATTATAAGTCTGTATATATTATATTATCGTTTAACGTAAATAAATAGATTTTAACATGGTATATTGTAATACACTGCCGTGGACCCCCATTTCCATTTCGTGGACCCCCAAATTTTGCTTTCGCCGCCGTGGACCCCTTGAAAGTTGGTGTCAATCCCTGGGGATCCATATAGACCACTTTGAAAATCACTGTGGTAGATTATACACGCCTGTTTTTTCTAATTTTGATCTCAAACGATTCAGAATAATTCGAAAAGTCGATAAAACGCAAAATTAGCAATTCTCTTTCGGGAAATTAAAAATCTTAAATCAAAGGAATTGGGGAGAAATGTAATAACTCGTTATACTAGAAATATATGACCAATGATGGTCATTTAATGCCAAATTAAAATATTTTTTTTAAGAATATCTTACTAACCGTGTTAAGATCTTCTATTCTAGTCATGACTCCCATAGCCATTTCTCGCCTGTCTGAGGGTGCTTCCGGGCATGGATACAATGTAGCTCTAAAACCCTCACAAATTTTTTTGACACGTGTTTTAAGTTGATCTCCTTGGAAGAATATGATGAATACGGATTTGAATACTTGATCACTCTAAAAACCATAGAACAAATTGGTTAAACAATATTTTTAATACCAACAAGGTGATGAATTGAATAAAAATATTAAAATTATTGCAGATGAAATATTCAATGTAAAAAGTAACTAACAAATTGTTAAAAAAAATTGCTACTAAATTTTACCGTTGTAGGATCTTCTAAAGGAGTTTCAATCTCAGCTTGCCTGAGAAATACATTGCCTCGACAAGCCCTCCACAGCATGCGCTCGAACGCCGGAATCCTTTCTCGAAGTATGACGCCAGCCACGAAGCTAAATATCGTTAATAATTATATACATTCGTATGTTTTCGAACAGTCGAACCTCACAAAAACAAATTTTGTTTGTGTTTTATGATTTCATTTAATTCATACTGTGCGAAAAAAGTTTTCATTCGTCGAATAAATCGTGTTAAAAGGATAATTAAGAATAAAGACTCTCTTCATTAAAATCTAGTGAAAATTAAAACTGAGTTAACACAAGATTGCAATACCATGCATAATAAAAGTTATACAAAAAATAAAGCTTAATTTATGTTATTCGACGATCAAAATAAAATCGACATAGTTTGAGTGCACCCAACTTTTGCGAAGCATGCTTTTCTAAATCAAATGATGTTCTTAGATTAAATTATAAAAAATGGAACGAAAATAATTTTACTTCCAAAAATTTAACAATTTTTGACAAGGATCGCTAATTGATGTAAAATGAATGAAGCAATACTTTTTTTTCATTTTTATATAATAAATTATTCAGTCAATAAACAAAAATGTTTTCTATCCGAATCTTGTGATTTTAATTGGAATGCATTGTTAGATAACACGTACGTCTCTTGGCAAGCGTGGTTTAGGATAATTACGGTTTGGGATTTCGTTAATGCTTCTTCAAAGCAAGTTGACCAAATAACCAATGTACAAACCTTATTAGAACATGTAATTAAATATACAAAATTTTATTTACAACTTACCTTGCAATTTAACACTCCTTAAATATGTGTTGCCACAAATAATGAGCATAAAAAATTCTACACAAAAATTAATTATTACATTCTAGAAACCTTTATATTCGTCATTATTATGCAGTAATTTTTAATGTGAAGTTCCGAATGACAGTAAATATATTGAAAACAAATTAAAAAAATGTCGACAAATGATTTCAAATGCTTATGAAAATGTAATGATTCGTGCACGACAATTATTCTTTAAAAATTTATTACTGACCATGGGAAGAATTCTTCTGGTTCGCGCGGTTTTTCCAGAAAACTGCATAGAATATTAAAAAAAACGTCATTTTTAATATTAATTAAAAGCAGGAATATATATATATATATATATATATATATATATATATTTATAAACACATACATTCAAGCATATAGAATTCAGAAGTACATAATGAAATAAATATAAGTGAGAAATTATTTCCAGTTGTGATACAAAATTAAAATGTTAATCTGTTAGATTTATCATACAAAATATCAAAAGTTTATATTATTACCAACATATAAACAATCCTGATTATCTCAAATTTGTTATTTAAAATTTCTACGTTAGTAATGATAAATACGGTTAAGATATTAGCCAAAAGCGCAATTTGCATAAGCATCTTCAGTAGAACGTGTATAGTTATAAAAGTTAAAAATATTAAAATAAAAAATAAAATAAATTTACGTTAAATATAAGGTAACAATTTCAAGATAATTTTAATCTTATTTTACATAATTTTTACAGCTATATGATTACTAGCTGATAATATTACCCCAGTCATTTTACGATCAATTCAGAATAAAAAAAAATTATTTATATAATTTTGAGAAAGTTGACTATTTTAGATTTTCCAGGAAACAAGAGCAAGTAAAAAATTTTACTGAAAACACTTTCATAAATCAAACGGCAGTGAAAGCATACACTCCCCCATCACAACAACGACTTTTTATGTTTGCTATAATTCATTTTGAGCAAATATTTTACGGCATAAATTTATTGATAAAGTAGCGTGAATGAATTTGTAACAAGAATGTAAAAGTAATAAACGATCGATTTTTAAACAAATTGTTACTGATTGCTCGTTATTTTACTGCGCACGACTTACCCTTCAGATGTATCGTTTAAATACTTTTTGGTTTAGCATTTTTAATGCCAAGAATATGAAACCGCTGTTTTATAAAATTATGCCGTTTGTAGTAATAGAATTTGGACCAGATGTTCATAATAGTCAATGTTAGTCAAATACAGAAGTTGTTTATTTTTCAATGTAAACTTGCTCGGTATTCGAATATATCACAAAATGTGCAGCATTTCAATTTGTGAAATATTTAAATTATTTAAATTAAAAATATTATTTTTGGTAATCAAGTTTGATATTGGCAAAGAAATGATTTTATCAATAAGTCATCTATGCGTGTGATGGGGGACATGAATTCAAAAATGTTATTCTGTTAGCACTATTTAAACGATTACCACAATTCCATAATCATTTTACGTACCCCAATTGAACGGGACCAGCATTAGAATTTCTCGATTCGTCGCTGATCAGCGCCCTGGTCATCGATTCCGTCTGGTTAGCGCCCCCTTCGTGCTGGACGAGATATTTCAACCGGACAACAAATTTTGGGACATTACACACAAGGAACAAAATCAAATACTAATACTCTAAAAGACTTACACAACGATAGGTAATATTGGCATTGGATCATTAAATATTATATCAATAATTAATTCCGAAATAGTGCATTAGCACAAATGAGAGAAAATTAGAAACAAAAAGATTGCAATGATTAGCATAGTTTTTTATTAGATTATACGTTTAAATTAAGCATTGTACTTTCGTGAAAATTTATTTTCAGATTAATTTCGCACTCAAAAATTTAAATCTTCAGTAATAGCATAAGGATGGCTGTGAATCTTATACAATATAATATTCAAGTTTAGAAAAACTCAAATTAATGAATATTTTAATCTTATTTTAAGAATTATTTGAACTATGACTCTTCATTAAAAACAGGCCGAAAAACTAAATATTTTTGCTTTAATTATGATTTAAACGAATGGAAAGTCTAAAGCCCTCGAGTTCTATATTATAGTTTACATTGAAAATTCTGATTTATAAGTATTTTCAAGAAAAAAATTAAAATCTTTAGTTGAAAAGAATATAAAGTAAAAACAAAGTTGAACATTGTCGCAGCAACGTAAGCCAAATTGAAGTAATATTTTTTAATGCAGAAAAATTTAATGGAAGTTAATTCAATGTTTAATTTACATTAGATAGGTGATTGTAGACATGTTATATGGTGTTAATGGAAAATGATATGAAAGGAATGAATCAGTGCATCGTAACCGCATGCAAAAATTATCCAAATCCATTTACCATTTTAAAACTACATCGCATGCATATATATAGTCTTAACCGCAATTTTGTCTATCATGTTTATGGCAATGAAATTCTGCATCGTGTTATATATCTAAAAAGCTGTACATTGGTTATTTGTCAAATATTTCTTATGAAAATTTAAGTTTGTAAAGACGTTAATTGTCTGTATGAGAATGCAAACTTTTGCTAAAAAACAAAAAAATCCACAAATCCAGTCACAAAAACGTAATAAAATAATTAATTTAAATCATTTGGAAATTTGATCATTTCAAGAAAGGTCGTAGTCCTATTAACGACATTTCAAACTTTACAAGTAGGAATTTGATTAATCACTCATTTCAAAATTCCAGTAATTGACATAATCGAAAATAAGACCAGAAGTAAACACAATATTATTATATATATATATATATATATATATATATATATATATATTGCCAATCTAATTGCATTTTGGTTTAGATATGATTAGTAAAAAAAATCAATTTAAAAATTCGTTAATAATCTTGCCTGAGAGGACTTCTATATTTGTCATCGTGATCAGTGTAAGATCTCTGTAATAAAAAACAAATCCGCGATTAACCGATATTCTGAAATTTATAATTCCATTCACTTTCTGGGGAAATCCAACACACTTTAATGATAAAGGTTTATTGAATTAATATAATCTAAACCTTACATCAAATTGCTTCACCTAATTTTGAAAAGCTCGCATCCGTTGGGTACATAGTTCAGAAATGTAAAACCATAGGTCAGGCGCAGTACAGTTTTGTACAGTATTGAATTGAATATATAATAAGATCATCAATCATACAGGTAAAAAATCTTAAGGTAGTAAATAAGATTTTTTTTAAATTTGATCTTTATCCCCATTTATAACTTTCGAACAACTAAAAAAATTCTAACTAAAAATTTAATTAGATAATTCGAATATAATTTGGCAACTAAAAAATGTTTTACGATCAAACCTGACCACTGGTCTTAGCAGCCTAACAATATTCTATTTACCCAAGTTTGAGTGCCTGTCCGCCCGTACGAAGGCCTTCTTCTCCCAGGAGATTGACTTGTTCTTCCTCCCTGGACGGATCAGCCATCTGCGAGGAACGATGGTAGCCTACCTCAGCCTGGCAACACACAACGCACGACAAGCGCGGAACCGATTTCTAACTGATATTTAAATTTCCAACATTTGGCCCCAGAAAATTAAAACGTCCCTATTTACCCTACGCTTCAATTCGTTTCCATTGAAAAATTCTTCAATTGAGAAAATCCTCGAGTGTTTTCGTAGAATTTGCGGTATAATCAGAAGAACAAAAATTATGAATCATAGTGCTTTCCAAAAATCTTCACCACTCTAGTAGTAAAAAACTTGCTATTCTCATCAATCAATTATTTTTCACATCCATTTCCAACTATTTTAAGCTGTAAGCACAGCTGTAAAAATATATTCAAAAAAAGATTTTGTGTGAGTTATAAGATTCTTCAAAACTTATGTTTTAAATTAAAAAAAGAAAGATATTTGGAAAACAGAACGATAAATATTGACTCTGATGAAGGAAAAAAATAAATAACAGCATATATGTTAAGGGGATAATAATATTAAAATGCAAAAAGCTTATAAATCCAAACCATTAGAAATAAAAGTATTAATGCGCTGTAAACCAAAAACCAGAAACCAAAAGAAAATTTAAGAAAACTGAATCAGCAGGGTGATCTAAAAAAAGCTTGGCACTAATTCTTTGCATAGAATTTTATAAAAATACTGAAATATAAACGTATCACATGTCCCATTATGCTTTTCAATGAAATCATCTAATTCTATCCAATGCTACTAGTATATAAAAATATTTTTTGAACAACAATGAGGGGCACTATTCATTGTTGTTCTCGATCTACATAAAAATCTAAAAATTATAGAAACAATATTTTAATTATAGATCTACGATTTAACATTATAAACATGCGATAACAATTTTGTTCTAATAATCAGGCCCAAGGAATAAAGAATTTCGTTTCGGATAAAACAAGAGCAAAGTTGGATTTAGAAACCCGGGCAAGACGCGATGATAAAATATACTAAAATTTCATTAAATCATTAGTAATGCGTGAAACTGAAGACAAGCGAAAACTACACAAATCTTTCCTGATTATGGTTGATCATATATCTAGGTAACGATACGTCTAAATTAACATTTAATATTTATTTTTACCATCAAATTCAACCCTTTTCTAATTTAGCTTTATCGCATTATTTTATATCTTTATTTCAAGGGCCTTTTGATGCAGAAATACAAGAAGTTCTTAAATGCAGCAATTTATAAATGCTGCAAAGAAAAACGTGTTTGGAGAAGATAATTATGATTAAATTGTATTACCCAATCGGAATTTATTTTCTGTAATATGGAATTGACCAACAATAAAACAATAAGCGAAGGACATCCATTAAACACGTTTAATTTAGAATTTAGAATTACATCCCTCATCGGTCGCATATCGTCAGTCATTGAAGCAGTTCTAAAAAGCCATTTTATTAAACAAAAAAATTCAGATAAAACAAATTTTCATCAATAAGCAAAATGTTTTCTTGATGAAGTGATGAAAGATACAAAGCACAAAGTTGCAGAACGTTTTTAAATTATGCTTTTCATAAATTTTGTAAAGTAAAGGAAAGAAAAAAAAACTATTACTTTGTTGAATAAGACGATATTGTGTATATATTTTATTATTTACATATATTTTACACAAAATTATATATTATAATACCGTGAAAAATATTATGAAAATCTATACCCTTTTATTGTTGTGTACTTAATGGATGTCGCCTTTGTGTGCAAAAAATGAACCATTTTAAATTGATTTATTTCGTAATTTATAATTAATAGCACGTAAACATTTAATAATTTCATATATTTAACAAAGTACAATTAAGTGGTGAAAGAATGATAACATGAATGCAAGAGCAAGCAACGTGCAGAGTTAAGAAAGTTTAAATAAAGCAGATAAGGGCTGAAATTTCAATTTCGAAGTAATTTAGAAGCCATTTTTCAAATTTGTAACATAATTATCGACGTGTAAGATATTATTTGAATCTTGTAGAACAGAAACTAAAAAAATTGAAATAACAACCCTACTAGAACAAGAATTAGTGCACTCAAATTGAGGAATCCATCGGATAAGTTAGAATAGGATCAAACAAAAACAAAACGAGTGTGCAAAAGATTTATGGGAAAGGATTAATGGACTGAATTTTCGAGCATTTCTTATTAAATTGAAAATTTCAATAAATCACAAATTTTATTAATTGATGTTTATTCGATTTTATCGTGCGGTTGTTTCCAGGCTAACGTAATAATGATTTGCGAGCAAGATAAAACATTTTTTTAGTTATTTTTTTGCATTACTCAAAATAATGTTTTATCTTTCAAAATGCCAAGTCAATCTTTTTAATTTAATAACTCAGCATTCTTCACATTACCATTCTTTAATAGTTTTATTAAATCCATAATAGCTATCTGATATTTCTATAATAACTTTTATGGTAAAAATCAAATATATTTCAAAGCATTTAAATAACCTCCACCGATTTATTAATTATAATATTCGAATAAGTATTTTTATTTCACTGGTTGAAAAAACTGCTATATCAAGTTTTTCTTCACAGATAATATTTTATAATAAACCAATAAAATTTAATTTATATTTAAGTGAGCTGCGTTATTGATTTTTAATTTATTATATATATTAACAAATCTCTCACCCCGCGATGCATGCCATTTCAAAATATGACTTTGGGTATAAATATTAAAACTGATGTGCAAAAATATTAACTAAAACCATTCTAATCTCGCAATAGTTTATTTTAAGTCAACATCCAATATGATTGTAGTTAAAAGGATGATATATTAAAAAGCAACAAATGACCTATCCACAACAATGACGATTGAGCAATAAAAGAATGAATATGAATGATAAAAGCTATATTAATCGCTTCAAATGGCAAGCTTAATTAAAATGAAAATTTTAAATCGATCAAAACATTACGTCACTGTTAATAAAGGCGTATTTCTAAATAATTCTTTTCTTGATTTTTTTTATGGTTCAAAGCTTATGCATAACTTATTGAAATTATATGATCAGCTTATAAATTTTTTTTTTTTTAAAAGAAGTACGAAATCAACTAGTATTTAAAAATTTATTAGGAAAATGTAAGTCATTAATTGCTCTCCGAATTAAGCGAATTTGATCAGAATTTAGATAAAAATTTATGGTTGTGGACATTGTGGTGATGTTAGGAGACTTATCAAACGCTGATTCAATGACGTGCAAATAGCAATTGATGGCAATTGAAATGCATTATCAACATTGAAGCAATGAAGAATAAATGACAAAAACAAACGCATTCTCGATGATAATTGGTAATTTCTCCTATTATCCGCAACTGAATCATTCAATTTCTACAATTTACTACAAAGTGACGTAACGAATTTTCACGATGTTTCTTATGAATTATGTTAAAGCTGCACAAGTTAAAACAAGAAAACAAAAATTATTTATTTTATATCTCGAATATAATCTCACCTCATCGAAGAAAACTTGAGTTTTGCGCAATATGTGTTTGAGTTCAGTTAGTTCTAAAAAATTTCTTTTCAAGGTTTCAGCATTACGGTTTACTTCACGTAGTTCATTTTCAAGTTTCTCAAAAGTGGCCTGTGAAAATAAATGTCATTGTAATAATTATAGTTTTATGAAATATAAAATATATATTACTTTATTATTATAAAGTATGACAGGCAAAACGTAAGCCGTTATTTTTTATGTAAAAGATTCTAAATCAAATATTTCGCTTTTCAAAAACAATCTGATGTTTTGCTTTCGTTGATATGGCCTGAAAAATTTTCTATTATATATGTAATTTTAAAAAAAAAAAAAATATTGTACAAAACAGAAAGTAATAAAAATCTTATACATACATTTTATCATATAATGGATTGCAAACGTTTAGGTCTAGGTAGAATGTATAAGAGAAAATAAAATAATTATATGTAATGGAGTTACAAATATTGGCACAATTAGTATAACATGAAATCGATAGTAAGTTTCATTTCTGGAAGTTGTTTTAATTAATAACTGTAAATTTCTTTTTATTACAGATATATCGATATTATAAAATCCATCCCTTACAATATCGTTATATGACTTATTTTGATAAAATCGTTCAGTGGGCAATAACTCAGTAGAATATTTTATAAATTCTGATAATATAGTACCAGATATAAAAATAAAAAATCATCAATTCGCACTAGGGTTTGTCAGTTTTTAAATACCGATCTGGAAACCAGAGAAAAATTTGAAATTCAAAAACCGGGTATTTAGTAAAAATACCAGTTTTCAACACTTTCGAAAAAAAAATGAACATGAAAATGTACCAGATTGATGAAAACATCGTTGCAAATCGATTGTCCTTCATTACACTATTATAACAATATTTACCCCATCATATGTAAAAACTATGCACAAACAACGATTAATTAATTATTTTTAAAGCTATTTAATTCTGCTTAATTATTATTTTATGTTCTACTAAATTTCATAAAAAATATTATCAATAAATTTTAATCACTAGATATTTTCGGCCAATTTTTTTGTTCTAATTATTCAGGCAAATATTTTTTGATAAAAAGTAGAAACCGGTTAAAACTGGTCTTTCGAAAAATACTCTTCGGTTTTGGGGCCGTTCAAGTATTACGTAAGCACTATAGGGGGGCGGGGGGTTGTTAATTTGCTTATTTTGGGTTGACATGGGGGGCAGGGGAGCCTGGATGATGATTACGCCATTGATAGTATTTTTATTTTTTTACATTAATTGCAAAATGTTTACATAAGCATTGGGGTAGGGGGTAAGAGCTTTGCTTACTTTTGCTGTCAAGGGGGATGGGGGGTAAATAATTGTAATAAATCTGCTTACGTAATACTTGAACGATCCCTTTCGCATAAACCCCAATTTGCCAAAATTATTATCGAGTTTCTTAAAAGCCTAGAATAAACTTATAACTTTACAAACGATTTCAAATGCAAATATGCACATGTGAGCAAGTATACACATTTATATATCTGTATGAATTTAAAGATATTGGCTACATGGCCGTTTGGACGCGTATCAATTAAATGAATTTAATAAATTAAACTATATAACAAATTGCTTATAATAAAAACCTCAAGATCGATCATTTCTCTAGGCTGGGGAGCTTCAGGATTTTCACCCGTGTCCAACATAGGAATACCATCTTTTCTAATTTCCTTTTCTAAGTAGCGAAGCTTTCTTTCCATTTCATCACACCGCCGAACTTCGTTGACGAACTTACGCTGAAATGCATTGACATCAGGATTCAACTGAAAAGGAAAAAATAAATATAAATCGTCTAGTCTAGACTATCAGATAATAAAAATAGTTTTGGTTTAAATTCTTTGAGATAATCACTTTACTTTCTCATTTACAATAGCCGCATCTGCAAAAATTGTTCCTTTTATATGCATGTGTATATTTTCTATACACAATTTAGTCACAAATTATTTATATTATGCAAAATGGAAATACAAAACTTCATTAATTCGTGAGTTCTCTGTTAAGTGTCAATTTGAAACGGTCTAGCTATTATAACTTTTCCATAATTATTAGTAGTAGTCATGTTTTAAACTAAGTTTGCATGCAAATGCATACAACGGAGAATCGCAACAGAATAATAGATTGGCGCACAAAAATTTCTATCATTGGTGAAATAAAACTTTCCATAGTTTAGATAAATTTTCTCTCTTGTAAGCCTAGAAAATATAATATGATGTTTAACTGCTTATGTACTAAAATTAAAAGGATTTTTTTTATACTTTAATAGCAATCAGAATTTACAAAATTCTATGACCTATTGTGCTTATGTTTTAACTGGGTCCAAATTAAAACCATAAAACATTATTTTAGTTTAAATTAAAATAAATATATTAGATATTTTAAACGATTTCAATTATTTTTCATTTGAGACATTTAATAATGTCTACACAGTTTTTTTTTTCAACTCAATATGTTTTTTTTGTAAATAAAATGTAAACTCCTGTAATTATAGAGCAGTTATCTTCTCGAGGTCGAAATTAATGTTTACGCTCAAAAATCCGATTTTATAATAACGCCGTTTCAACTCATTTTGAGTCAATATAGATATAGCTTATCCAATCTATAAAAAAAATTAATAAAACTAATTATGACTAATACCCCGATAATAATCATTCGAATCATTTCTCTCTGACTAGCGTTCAATAATAAAAGTATTCGTTCATGTTTGAAAAACGGTTGGCAAATGTATGGAGTTTTGACGAGGATAGGTGAATCGTTTTTTAAGCAAAAAAAAATTCTATGTATCACAAATTTGAAATTTTATTTCATTGCTATTCTATAGATATCAACATATTCATTAATATTAACAAGTCCTTCTGACAATAGGACAAAAAGAAATTGGTGTCCATTGGTTGAGTATTGATAACTAATTCTTGATATATTATCAAGGTAGTCAATCGATTTTTCTTTTGAATTTGAACGTCTAAATTTCTTCGAAAAAAGAAACTGGCTTAATTAATATTGGGTAAAGATACTAAAATCGTTTATTTATAATTAACAGTTTTAAAATTTTAATATGTGTAATTATTAAAATTTCACGAAATTAAGTTGTCTGTATTTGGCGTGCGATATATGTTTTCTGATGTACCTACTTGTTAACGATGAACACAAATATAAAGTAAACTAGTGGTGTATGGCATCGTGCCTTAAGGCAAATTGCTGGAACTTCCCGTACCGTAATGAAATATTCGAAAATTTTTAAACGTTTTCAAATATATTATTACAAATACTGTAACTTTCATTATTTTTGCTATATTGTTATATCTGAGCAAATCAAATGTAAATCATAAATCAATTTATATCCAGAACATTAACAATCATTTTATTTCGAATTCAATTTCAAAAAAATAGTTGCCTAATTCTTTTACACAACCTGAAAAGTGCTCCAGTACATAAACAGTCTAAACGCACTTGGGTAAACGTTTGTACCAGAGTGGTGCTTAGACTGTGCTTAGCCTGGGTAATTTTTCGAATTTTTAATCCAAAATTACAAAAATATTTTATGGAAAATAAAAAAAAAGATGTAATAATTTTTTATCCTCAAAAGCAATTATTTTGTCAATAGAAGCAGAAAGTTTTTTTTTAGATAATTCAAATCGGAAGCTTAGTTCACTCAAAAACTGCCATTTTTTGCACATTTAGCTCTGCGTCTTCGAAATGGCGGGACCTGTCTTTGCCAAAAACAAATCACCTCTTGTCCCAACCATTACAAATTGAATGTTTTATAGATCATTCAAATCCGATTCTCCGTTCTCTCAAAAACTCGATTTGTATTTTCTGCACTCTTTGCTCCGCATCTCCATAACGGCTGGATTTGCCTTTGCCTAAAACTAATCAGCACATCTCCCTATCAATAGGGATCGAATGTTTTTTGAACCATTCAAATCGGTTGATCCGTGCGCCCGAAAACGTGGACGAAAAAATGCGGACATACAAAACACACACACATTCATTTTTTTGTATGCCAAAATGTTCAGAAATCTTCAAAACGCCGAGAAATGCAAAAATTTTCAATTTTGCCCATTATGGGCCGATTTTCGGCCCATTACTATAACTACCCTACGGAAAGTTAAAAATAGAGATAAAACTGCAAAAAAAAAACAAGACAAAACCTCCGACTTGTAATTCTACTGCATGGTGTTAAAATTTTTGTAATTTATGTGTTTTTCTGACCATTTTTCATTTAATTCACCTATAAAAGGGATTTGTGCAACGATTTTTTCATCTTTACTGAGCTTTTTTTGGAAAATGCATCAGCAATCTGCAAACATATTTTCAAATAACAGCAATTTGCGGTCCGCAAATATTTTTGCAAATTAACTAGGTGCAATAGATATTAAATATGTTTACAAATTGCTGCTGAATTATACAAACAGAAACACAACACAAACATGAAAAAAAAGTTGCAGAAATACGTTTCTCATTTCAGTTGAAGAAAGGAGAGCTAGGAAACGACGAAAATTACAAGATTTTAATTATCATGCAGAAAAATTACTTTGTCGCTGTCGAATATTTTGTCGTTTTTTTTTTCTCCGATTTTTCGCAGTTTGTTCCCCCATTTTGACCTTAGATTTGTGTTTAGTGTTAAAAAGTACATAGAAAAACTTATGTCACATCTAATACAGACAGTTTTTTTATTTTGTGGACCTGTGTTATCTTTCTCAGAAAATCACACACAGATGCTACGTATCCTAAACTTATTCGAAATATATCACGCTTGTTATAAAATTTGAAAACTATTAGAATCTAAAATAGTAACTGCACCAAATGCTTCTCGAATATGTTTTCTGCAATTTCAAAAATTCAAAAATTAGTCAGTAGATCACAAAATGGTTTATGCAGTCGCCAAATCAAATCCAGTATTTCAAAGAGAAAGTTTGTGCCACTTATTCAAAATACCCGTGATGTTGGGTGCGGAAATTTTAAACATAACTACGTAGCATGTCACCAATGCAGGAGAAGGTCCAAAAATCCTTAAAAATCTATCACCTGATTAGCAGAAGTCCCCCTTAAATCAAATTATTAGAAATATAATCAAATTAGTGGAAATAAGTGTTATAAGATAATAGTGTAAATAAGTATTATAAGAAAAAATAAATTCAGAAGAAAAAGCCACTTCCACATATTGAAGCTTATCAGATTTTTTCGAAAGAAACTTTAAAATGACGTATAAATTGTTCAAATACCAAGGTGTACCCGAAACACATTGCTATAATTACGCTCATATACTGAAACAAGATATTAATCAATGTTTCGTTTGCTTGTTCAATCACGTTTTAATTAGGTCTAAACGGTAATTGTTGACATTACTCTTTATGCTTCATTACGTTTCTGTTATGTCTGTTTATAGTTTCAATTTGTGTGTTTTCAAAAACAAGTTCATCACGAATTAAACATATTATTAAACATGTCATTGCATTATTATGGAATTTGTGTAATACAGACTTATAACACTTTTTGAAAATATAGAGGTAACTTATCTAGTTTTCAACATCGATTTTTTTTTTTGACTATGTAAATAGTAAATATCCGATTAATATTTACTTGACTATTTATTTATTTAAGTCAATTTTATATTATAAACACCCAAAAATTTTGTATTTTTTTTTTTTTTTGAATTTATGTTTTTATATGAAAACTATTTTAGTGCAAAATTTTATTTAGTAATAAAAGCAAAGCAAAGTCGTTGACTAAAATCTATAAATAAATGCATATAAGCGACATGGATGATGAAAATTGCCGAATTGTTCTCATTTCTTGTCATCAATTAGGATATCGATTCAGATTAATGATGTTTAATTTTATGAGAAAAAAAAGGAATCAAATTCCACCCATATTCATTCATTTCAATTTTTTCTTAGAAAAATTATTTGTTATTGAAAAGATATCTATTTATGCTAGCGGTTATCTATAAATGGAATAGTATCTATTTCTCCACAACTTCAAGAAAAAAAAAGACATCAGGTTCTGTAGAAACGGCTTTATCTTATCTTAAGATAGTAGTTTTTGTGTTGGGCACAAGATGAGTTTCAAAAGAAGGATGTGTTAAATCTTTATGGCTAGTTCATGATAGGGTGTCCTTAATCACGTGATCGCTTTTTAAAGATTTTTGTTGATATTCAAAATTACCCCCTTTTCCCCACCAAACATTATTTGTATTTTTACCACAAAAAAAAAATCGTAAAATTTTTGGATTTGTTTAAATTCGGATAAATAATAAATACACGTGCCCCCCGCCCTATTAAGCCCCACGTGATGAACAAACGACTCCTTACCAGTTTGCATAAACTGGCTTTCTGGAATGTGGTGCATCTGCGGCATCAAATTGTCTGACAAAAATTGGATAGCAGTTCTGATCTTAGCATATTGCCAACATAAAAGTGTGATGCATGTTCTCCATATATAAAATTCTTCACTAGATTTCTAAACTTCTGATATTGATTGAATCGTAGTGTAATTGCATTGCTCTTCATAAGTCTCTTTGGCTACTATAAGTATCTACATATTTGTATCTTCTGTCCGATAAACAGAAATCACTTTCCAAGTTAACAAAGATGAATGAGAAGCACATGATGACAGCACGCCAGTACCTGATGTAGTTTCCAAAATTTCGATCAAACAATTTTGATGTCGAAGATGCACCACTACGTTGTGAGGTACTAGCAACGTTGTCATATGATGAATCCTCATGAACTATCTTTAGGATTATCTCTCTTATGCAAGTGTGCTCACCGAGATGTAATGTAATGACTGTGAGATAAAGTAAAGAAACGCACACCCGCTTTAATCAGCGATCACACAGTATTTTATAAACAAAATTAACAAATTAATAAGAACTCATTTTAAGCTATCGGTATTTCACAACATTCATATGTAAGAATGCATAAATGATTTTTGGAACCCCCTTCCTCCTTGGTGATACGTAATTGTCAAAATTACCTGTCCTCCTCAACCAATAGTCACGTGTATTTTTAGTTACGTGAAAAAATTGTAAAATTTATTGAATTTTTTTTGAAAATGTTTGGATTTCTTTAAAAAAATTCAGATAAAAAATAAATACACAGTGATATCTTACTATACCCCTCTCTCCCCACGTAATATTTCGTGATTTTTTGTCAAACTTTCCCTCCCGCTAAAAACCTCGTGATTGTTGAAGTAGGTTGATACAATAATATGTCCGATCGAACTTATTAATATTATTAAATTAAAAATTTCATTATATGACAAAATAAGGCTTCTAGGACACACTATAAAAATTTTATGTCCTAGAAACCATACGAAAGGTTATACCAAATTTCTAAAGTTATTTTGATCTAGTAGTCCCCAAGAATGTAATAACAAAAACTCAAAAATTCAAAAAATTATTATAAGGTAATTGGTAAATATATGCGTATCAGCATTTCAAAAAAGTAATTTGATATAATAATGCAGTGATAATTCTTATCACAATTACTAGATTAAAATTTGCATGCATTAAAGGGGTAAAACTTTAGAAATTTTGCTTTGCGCAAAAAATTGTATTAAATGCGAATGAAGCTATATGAGAATAAATAAACCAGAATTCTTAGAATAAATTTTTCTGTATTTTCAATGATAGGTGGGGAACTTGCGGCCACCCTTTGCTATATAGCATAAAATGGTACGATTCCTTTCAAACAACTATTGAACATCAACGTCATGATAGTTTCGGGAAAAAATTTACCAAAGACAGTCATATTGTAACATGACGTCAGATGCTAGCCTAAAACACAGACTAATGGGTACAAAATATTTTTTCATTGTATTATTTTATATGTATATTATATTTCAACTTCGGCAGTATTTATAATTTGTTTTTTTTTTCTAAATTATGCAATAAATATTTAAATCTATAGAAAAAAACTATAATTTAAATTAAAATAAAATAAAAACAATTTCACAGAAGTCACTTCCTTAATCAATCAGCTTATGCGGCCTCTGTTATTGCTGCCTAATTTAAGTGCTATCTCTATTATTAAAAAGATTTCCCATCTCTGATATCCAATGAATAACTTGGAGCAAGAATAAGTTAAATAAAATTTGTTTCGATGGGTTGCTGAATAATTTATTGAAGGAGTAGTGTGCAATATATGGCTTATAATAAATTTATTAAAACTGCGATAAATACAAAATCAACTTACATCTCGAAATTGCACCAGTCCCAGTTCTCCCAACTCGGAGACGCAGGCGTATGCCGCCTCGCTCTGCAGAAACAGCTGACAGAGGGACATCTCCTCGCTGCGGAACAGCGATCCCATCGTGGCACAACTAAAAAATAAATAAATAAATAAAAACAAAATTGATAACTAGCTGTAAGTGAAATTCTGTCTTAAGGCAATTAGGGCATCGTGCCTTAAGGCAAATTGCTGGAACTTCCCGTACCAAAAATTATTATTTTTTTTTAAAACGATTAACATTTTTGAAAAAAATTTTTTTTGAAAAAATAAGATTTTTGAGAAACTATAAATTGGACAAAAAATTAGTTTTTTTTTTTAAAAAAATTTTTTTTTTTAAAAAATTTTTTTTTTAAAAAAATTTGTTTTTTTTGAAAAAAATTTTTTTTTCTTTATTTTGACATATTGTGGAAGATCTGAACTTTTTTTTCAAAGCAATCGTACTGCTTTAACTACATAGGGACTACATAGGGACTTTATATAAAATATAAAGCGCGTAAGCGCCGCGTCGCTGTCTAACGCATAAGCATTGGTACGGAACCGATAGGAATGTTAACAAAATGTATACTTATTGTTAAAATCTCTATAAAATGTCTGATAATTTGATGTGCATATGTCTAATGATCATTTTTGACCGCCAAATGGCTCATTTTTTTACTTTTTCCTCTATATCTCCGAAACCGCTGGACCTACCTTCATGAAAGTTGTATCGATTCTTCATCTTGTCAATACAAATAAAATGTTTTTTGAATTATTAAAATCGGACGCTCCGTTCTCTTAAAAACTGAGTTACCGTTTTCGGAACTTTTTGCCCCGTATCTTCGGAACGGCTTGACCTGCCTTTGCCAAAAACTAATCAGCACGTCTCCTTATCAATACGGATCGAATGTTTTTTGAATTATTCAAATCGGTTGATCCGTGTTCCCGAAATCGTCGACGAAAATTTGTATCCGCACATACATACACACACATACATACATACATACACACACACATACACACACACACACACACACACACATCCATTTTTTCTAAGGTATGCCAAAATGTTCAGAAACCTCTGAAACGTAAAGATATATAAAAATTTTCATTTTCGATTTTTTTGCGATTACTATAACTTGCCCTACGGGAAGTTAAAAATGCAAACATTAGTATTATTGCACTAGTATTATTAGTATATATTAGTAAAAATTGCGGTTTCTTTATGTAATTTACTTAAATTCATAATGGTATATAGCTATGACTATACTTCAAAATACCACAAAAGGAGCCGTCTATCAATCACTCGAGACCTAAAGAGGTCTAGTGAGATATCACGCAAAAAAATCAAAATGGTTCAAAAATTTTTCAAATTTGGAAACTTATAAGTGAAAATACACATCATGTTAAGTGGCCGAAAGAGTGGTAAATTTAAATATCACTTTAATCATCAAGGAGTATGGGGTTCAAAAATCCTTAAAAATCAATCACGTGATTAATGGACGGCTCTAACGCATAGGTATGGCTAAATTTATAAAAGTATATTTATAATCTGTATTATGAAGTAAGTGTATTTTTTGAAAATATCTTGTCTCAATTTATGCGAAGACAAACTGGAATACGTATAACAGAATTATGCATTTAATAATACTATTTGCAGTAACAAATAATTTCATTATAACAATAATTATCATATGCACTTTAGAATATGACATACTAGTGGGAATTTAAAAAAAAGAAGTATTATTTCTTAAGCATTATTCAATAAATTCATGTTCTCAATATACATTAGAACCAAAACGGTTTCTAATTGGAATATAATGATTAAAGTATGTTTTATTTAGGATTCTTATTATAAATAATCCTTAATTTCTTCTGCAATACACTCATATACAAAAATCAAGTTCTTGAACTTGATTGCTCATATCGAAGCCATTATTATAAACAATGACGGATTTGACGACATTGCGTCATCAAAACAAAAACAAAACTTAATAAATATTTTTCTCACATACAATTCTATTGGTATTGCTATTTTTATAAAGATATTTCTTTATCAAAATCTTGTTTTGAAGAGAAAATTTCCTGTGCAAACCAATTACTTAAAATTAATCTTATAAGAACATTAATTTTGTTTTGATATTATTGATACTTCACATAATGTAAACTAAAAAACATTAATTGATTTCCAATCTTTTTAAAAGTAATAATTCTGGATAAGTTGAAAAATATATATAAACGAAAAAAAAATCAAGCTGAAAATCCAACAAGTCATGAGATGATAAATTTAATAAGAAACAAATCTAATAAGAAATAGATAAAAAGTTAAAACTGAAGTAAAACAAAATGTTAAACCAAAATATAGAGTAAAAAATGAAATCATTATTAAATATAAAATAAATATAGTAACGAGTGTAATGTTTATTTGTTATCAAAGAATAAACAATCTTCGTAAATAACCCGTTTTGGTGCATAAAATTACATAATTACAAGTCATACATATTAGTTAGAAAGATTTTTACTAGATATTGATTATTCTGCATTAGGGTTTATACAAAAACCGACATTTTAGAAAACCGGTTTTAGAATTGCAAATTTTCCAGAAAACCTGTTTTCGAATTTTATTTAAAAAATCCATTTTTGCTCAAATATTCTGTAATCAAAAAATTATCTGTAAATTTAGTGTGATTTAAAGCAACTTTTGACTGTATTTATTTAATGTTCAATTTTATAAATAGTAAACAAATTTATTAACTTCCCGTAGGGTAAGTTACTGTAATGGGCTGAAAATCGAAATTGAAAATTTTCACATTTCTCGACGTTTTGAAGGTTTCTGAACATTTTGGCATACCTCAGAAAAAATGGATGTGTGTGTGTGTGTGTGTGCGTGTGTATGTATGAATACAAATTTTCGCCCACGTTTTCGGGCGTACGGATCAACCGATTTGAATGGTTCAAAAAACATTCGATTCCTATTCATAGGGAAAAGAGCTGATTAGTTTTTGGCAAAGGCAGGTCCAGCCTCCGGAGATACGGAGCAAAGAATGCAGAAAATAGAAATCAACTTTTTGAGAGAACGGAGTATTCGATTTGAATGATCTAAAAAACATTTAATTAGTAATGATTGGGAGAAGTGTTTATCAGTTTTTGCCAAAGGCAGGCTCAGCCATTTCGAAGATACGGAGCTAAATATGTAAAAAATGGCAGTTTTTGAAAGAACGAAGCGTCCGATTTAAATGATTCAAAGAACTCTCTGCTTGTCTTAACAAAATAGTTGATTTTGGAAAAAAAATTTTTTTTTTTTTTCAATTTTTTGTATATCGAAAATAATTCAGATTTTATTTTTAATTCTGACTATAGTTCTAATATACTTTACAAATAATTTCAACTTTGCAATTCAGTTTATATAATTCTTATAAATATTAGACAATGATACAATATTTATAATACACCTAAGTCTGTTTTTACACGGTCTTTTTGTACACGGTTTTGATATAACACGGTTTGAAAATTGAATATTTTTAAATTTTTTACACGAATTTATTCCATTTAGCACGATTTGAAATTTTATGTACCTAATTTTTTTTTGTCAAATTAAATTTTTGCGAAGTATGTTCATATCACAAAAAAGTATTTATGAAAGAAAAAAGTCTGAAACCATCGATAGTATCGATAGTTTGCGAACACTAGCTTAAAGATTTAAGTGAATTCCCCTTTAGCGTGTACAAACAATTTTTACTGGTCAAAGCAAATGTGAATAGCACTAATTTAATTCTTGTTCTTAAAAATTCTTGTTTTTCACCAATTTTAATAGGTTTTAGAGATTAGGAACAAATCACCCATTTTTGTATAAGATCAATGTCTTTTTTTACACGTTTTTTTTTTTACACGGATTCTTCTGGAACCAATCTCCGTGTAAAAACAGACTTAGGTGTAATCTATTTGAAAACATTCAGTATTCCTCGAACATTTTGCTACGGTACGGGAAGTTCCAGCAATTTGCCTTAAGGTACGATGCCATAATTGCCTCAAGACAGAATTGCACTTACAGCTAGTTTTAATCTTAATTAGTAGAACAGAGTAATAATAGTTGATCTGGATTGAAGAATTTTGAAAATGATTATTCGTTATTTTTATGATAGTGAAAGAAAAGAGTTCAATTTAATAAATATAATACATTTTTAAGTAACAAAAAACTTAACTTGTAATTAAATGAAAATATTAGATACATATTGATACATACTTCTCAATGTTAATTTTAGTTTTTAAAACAATTAATAAACCCCGAGTTTATTGTCTCGAACAATTTCAATTAATTAATTTCAAATTTTAAATTATTTTTTGGTTTAATGAAATATGATTGCTGAAAGCTGAGGACGTCTATCGATTTGTTATTTAGAAATGTCCTATGTACAAAATTTTACGAAATAGAAAATACTCTCCCACTTCCAACCGAACTTAGTTTAATCATTTTTAAACTGTTCTTTTAATTGCGGTTTCTAGGGCTGAAAACTCTTTAAAGTTTGAGTAAAGCAATTCACTCCTTCAACGCGAAGTCGCTTTGATCTAAATTAATATATCTATTAATATAATAATCTAAATTAATATATACATTAGACAAAAGATAACAAAACTTTTCTGAGAACTATAACAGACTGATATGGTTCCAAATTTTATGGAACCGATATGATTCCAAGTATCAAAACGGTTGCTTCCATCTAGTATATCTGTCATTTTCTATTTAAACAGTAAAAACCGATTTTCCGCTAATTTCATAATTATCGTCAAAAAACTTTTTTTTTTAAAACCGACAAACCCTATTCTGCTTGCTGTAATTCTTTTATAAAATTAATGAAAAAGCGTAAAGAGATGGAAAAAAATAGAATGCTTTTCCTAATATTTTTAAATATCAACCATTTAAGAATTATTGCTATACGTACCTAAAAAATTTGGTATCTAAAAATAATTAAAAATGCTAATTATTCATACAATCAAAACATAAAAAATCTAATATATATTTCTTTCAATAATGATTTAATGAATAAAATTTTTCAATTCAATAGAATGATACAAAAATATTTATCAAATCATAAAATTGTGTCATTAATACAAAATAATAATTGTAATAAAAAAGTTGATAATTATAAACCTTATTTCGGTGTCTTTCAAATGATCGAAAAACTTTGTTCGAATCGAAATTTCAATGCCACATAAGACTGTCGAATATCCCGTTATCTGTAAACATGTGTGAATCGAAATGATTAATACAGATAACAATTCCATACTAACTAAATCATATGCAGAGGATTAAAAAGGGATCGGATTTATATCGAATGTACATTGGATTCATAATCTCATAATTTAGATGGGAAATACAACATTAAAAAAGTAACATGAAAATATCTAGCTAAATAAATTCTATATTTTAACTGAGTGAGTGCCAAGATGATGACTTATTGATGGTAACTAAATTACAAAATTTACAATGTCAATCAACATTAATCGCGCCAATAACACTTTTTGCACAACATAATTCTTAAAAATCAATCATGGGGTTTATGAAAACAAATCATGAAGATTCGCTCTTATAATTATTAATACCTTATTAGGAATATTGAAATAAAACTTTCTTATTGTCATTGCTGGCTATTGTATGAGGTACATGTAGATTCTAGTCCGAGCCCCCTTTGAAATTGTAATATTTTTTTTGAAAAATTTCGAAAATTTCAACACTTCATATAAGTCGTATATCTCGAAATCTTATGTATTTGGATAGTCCAGTCATTATAGTAAGATACCCATCTGTAATTCTGTAAATACTTGTATTTTGCTCCCTAAAAGTTGTCTCAAAACATGCTGCGAACACTCTGCCATATGTAGGTTTTGAGACAACTTTTAGTGTGCAAAATACAAGTATCTACAGAATTACAGCTGGGTATATCGAATTCCGAGGTTCTGACCTAATTTAAGCTTAAATGACTGGATTAAGATACATACATTTTTGGTAGCAGATTTCCAACTTCATATTTATTTATTTATTTATTTATTCATAAGCAAGCCGCAATCAATAATAATAAATATTATTTCAGGCTCTTGTCAAGCTTATACATAATTAATATTTAAAGAAAAGTAATTTTATAATATTCATGATAAATTCTAAGAGCTGCACCTCATTCCGAACGATTTTTTAACATAAAATACCAAAAAAATTAGTAATTCTGATCAGACTTATTTTCGGGTTTTGGGCGTTTTTGACCCAAAAACATAGGAGTATTGAAATGAATCTTTCTTGTTATTTCTGGCTATATGTCGTAAGTTTAAATTCAAGTGTGAACCCCTTAGGGGGCGTCTATTAATCACGTGAGGTCTTTAGGGAGAGGGGTGGTGTTACAAAAAAAAAAACACGAAATATCACGAGGGAGGGAGGGGTATAGTAAGATATCACGTGTATTTACTTTCAACTGATTTCTTTTAAAAAAAAACAAACATTTTTTAAAAAAAAAATCAAAAATTTTAGTTTTTTCACGCAACTAAACATACACGTGATGTTTGGAGGGGGAGGGAGGTAATTTTGAATATCACCACGTATCACCAAGGTGTAGGGAGGGGTTCAAAAATCCTTAAAATTCCGTTCACGTGATTAATGGAAGCCTCCTTATACTATCTATACGAGCAATCGTCAAAAATAGTGAACTTGTTTTTGATATTTGTCGAAAATTTCAAAATTTTGAAGTCGTATATTGAAAATTTAATATTTCAATATTTAGTGTAATTATTGAATTGTAATGGAAACAACAAAAGCGTCAACAGCGATTTTACTAATTTCTCAAATTTTGTAAGATTTAAAAAATTATTTTTCGGGTGATCATATATATATAATTAAAATATAAAATATGAACGAACTAGAAAGGCTTTTAAGAACCTGCAAAAACATACAACAATGCTAAACAAGCACATGATTACCTGTGCAAAAAATTCATTTTTTTTGCTCTTTTCGACACTTTATGTATCAAATGAACTATTACGCTAATTTTAACGGGATAAAGAGCAACAGTTTAAGTAACGAATCAAGAATGTTTTAAAAAATTAGAAAATTTATTGACACGAAAAAGTCAAATATTTTGAACGGCATAAAATAGTTATAAATTTTAATAGCTTATTTTTTAACAGTACAAGCATCGGATGAAGTACATTACTTCTAGCAACTTATTGACGGAAATTGGTAATATAATTTTATTAATTCTGTAGAAACCCTGTCGAGCAGTCATGACGTAATATGACGAACATAAAATTGATATTCAAACAAACAAGTAATTATTGGCATAATATTCAATATATTCATAATTTTCATCTAAATCTTCGAGATTGTTTAATCTGAAAAAAGAGCATCATTGCATTTTCCTATTATTAGTTAGGTCTTAAAAATTGTTAACAAGTTTTGTTGATGCTACTAAATAATAGTCACAAATGCCAAAAGTAAATGTTCATTAAAATGCATTATCAATCACTTCATAGTTCATCGTTCAATAATTACACAATTATAATAGTTCCCTTGCATGTATAATTTATGACTAAAGCTAGTACTAAATCTCATCTTACAATATACTCAAAGCATGCAAAATAAAATCGATAAATGTAGTTTCTACTTGCAAAAACTTATTATCCTGATCCAACTGTTTTCATAAAATTATACGTGATAACACAAAACAAATTTTACATATTCACACATTGAATCGAAGTAATGAAAATAAGATTAAATCGATTCATAATGGAAATACATCAAGGACAGGCAAGCGTAAACATTTAACTCGTAAAGTGCAATTTAATCATAATAACACAAGTAAAATTAATTGAACACCCACTTTTTATTATTGATTGCACTCCAAAATTCACAGAAATCGAATTTGCTGTCACCAGTACGATTTCTCTGCTTCTGTCAGATCCCGCCAACTGGGCGAACACGAACTCGAATATCAGCTCGGCGATGTGCATGGTGTTGCCTGTGTTGAAATAATTGTACTATTAATCTTGACATTTGGATAAAATAAAAAAAATTAATTAATATATATTTTATATATTCTGTCTAAATTGATTCACTTTATAGCAAATATCTAAGTTTTTCTAATTAATTTGATTGACTATAATTAAGTATATTATTATCGAAGATATACCAAAATAAATTTTTATGAGCGGTTTATTTAAAAATGTAATATGATTCGGTTCGTATGCATTAGATAATATGCTTTACATAATTTCACTTTTTACAATTTTTTGTTATATAATTAGGAGGTGTCTTAAAAATAAAATTTCTATTTACCTAAATTTACAAAAATATATATAATAAAATAAAAATATCTTTAATAATAGCACATAGTGAGTGCGCTTTAATTTTCAAACATTTAACATTCAAAATGCAGAGAAAATAGAAAATGAAATACTTATAATGAAAATACATTGAAGTTATATATAACAAACAAATCATTATGAATTTAATAAGTTTATTACCTTTTATTTTTATTATATTTCCTTATCAAATAGTTTTCAAACCTCTAAAAATTATTTAAAAGCAATTTTTATCATATCTGCATTAAACTTGTCAGAAAAAACTTTCAAAAGCAAATTTTCCAGAAAAAAATTTACATACTTGCCATTAATAATACTAGCTTTAATAATATTGCTCTAACCCTAGACAATATTAGAATATGATGGATTCATAACTGGCTTTAACTACTGCCCCTTCTTATAAATAAATATGGGTAAAATGTGCATTTATCCAATTAAACATTAAAATGCTGAAAAACAGGGATAATTTGTAAATTAAATATGTAGACTTGTGACTAATAATTATAAATTGTAGAAGTTAAAAATATCCTATTGCAAATTCATTCCGCTATGGCTTATAGGAAAACATGTTTCTTTTCTGTACTACCTCATTTATTTCTAATAAAATAGTTTCTCCATGTCTTCATACCTTCTGCATTCAACTCTGTACATTTCTATTTCTATGCGAATTGGATGTTTTATGCAATTTTGTTCAAACCAATCCTTTTTCCATATATTTTTCTTTGAAAAATGTTATATATTTAGCACTTTATTTGAAAAATGGTGCACAAACTTTATCTTCTTAACTATCTTTATATCATAATTTTGACAGTTTTGTATATACTTTGTTTCATTTTCCCCAAAACGAGGATCAACCACACACTTATGGTACATATGCTTTCAATGATAAGATAATCAGAATTTTTACTACAGAAATAGTTCATAACTATTCAGTCAACTATTTTGTACATCAAACTTAATTTTTCTAGATAGGTTCTGTTATATATTTATATCAACCTACAATTAAATTATTTTTAATACCCTACCAAAATTCACGAAATCGAATCCACAATCTTTATAGTGTGAGAAGCATTTAGATAAAAAGAAATTTCACATCAAATGCAAGACAAAAAAATTAATATAAGTCAATTAAAATAAATTTATGAACAAAATCTCCAGGTAAGAGGTAAGTATTTTTCTGAATTTAGAATTAAAAAAATTTGTTAAAAAAACAAGTGCCTATAAATATGTCTACATTTAAGTTAATAGTAATTTGAATATCAATAACATGACAAAGTTAACAATTTGCCAATTAAGTCAGATTATTAATTTTTGCAGAAAATTTTAGAATTTGCTAGATAGTTTTGAATTAAAAATCAAAATGCATTTTTTTAAATCATATTTAATTTATCTTTACAGAAGAAGAAACACTAAAATTGATGAATTGTTCATAATATTGGAGTATCAATATTTGATAGTGATTGAGGTATAAGTTGCAGCATAAATGCAAATAAGTTAAAAACATTTAGTTAGAACACTTTACTCTACACGAAGTAATTCTACATCAAAAATCAATGTAGCATTTGGTGGAATGATTCCTGGGTGTCCACGAGACCCGTAAGCAAAATCAGGAGAGCAGGTTAATTTGGCACGTTGACCGACGGACATCTGAAAAACAAATGATTTTAATACACATTACACAAATCGAACTAAATAGTTTATTAATTTTATTTTAGAATTAATAATTTTCTCACAAACATTTATCAGTATTATTAGATTATAGTCAGAAGCTATAGCACTTATTTTATATACTTATAAAATAGTAAAAGTGAAATACCAACCTGGGCTACACCCTGGTCCCATCCTTTAATAACATCACCTTTGCCAATTTTGAACTTGAAAGGTTGACCTCTTGTGCGTGATGAATCAAATTGTGTACCATTTGTCAAGGTACCAGTGTAGTGAACAACTACAGTTTGACCAGTTTTGGGATAAGTGGTTCCTGGATTAAAAATCACATTTAATTGTTTTATTTAGTTATTTAATTGATGCTCTATGACATTGACTTTCTGGATGGCGGACAAGATAACGTTAATTGAGTGATAATATTTATGTATGTGTTTTAATGACTATGAAAGATATTGCACTTTACAGCTCATACAGATTTAATTAATTCGGTAATTACATGCGTTTCGTAGTGCCGGCCTACGCCAAAACGAAAAAAAATTTAATTCATAATCTACATTAAATATTTAGATTTTAATCACTAATAACCATCAAATAAATAAATTATGGATAAAGCCATACACATTTATACATATTTAATATATTTCACAAGTCGTTTTTAGGGCGCTTCTGCAACAATTAAAGTTCAAGGCGGAACGTAAACATTGATCATTTCCGAGACAAGCAAATTATAAAATAATTAATTTTTATTTCAATTGCACATTTCATATGAACAATAATCCTATGAACACTCACCATCTCCAGGCTTAATAGTTTCAATTTCAACACCCATTTTAATTATTTAGTCAAACCCACGCAACTCAAGTTCACTAATAAAATGTCTGCTGGAAAATTTTTATCCGGCTTAAATTGTAGTGTTGCCCGAAATAATAATCTCGCTTTAAATTTAGGAACATCTTTGGGACAGGCGGGGTAATAAAACTGTCATCTGTCACGCATAGTGCGCCATCAGCGTCGTTTTGTTAAAGCTTTACGCCCGATATCGTCATTTCTTCATCGTCCTTATCTATGGGTAACGTGGTTTTCAACTTTATTTTCAGGTTTTTAAAATAATTATTTGTCCAGTTTTATCATATTTTTAAACATTCAAGTCTTAATATCGTCAAGTAACGCTTTTTTCTATTTTAATTAAGAATTGACATATGCATTAACATAGTCTAATATTCGGTTATAGCATCAATCAATTTATTTTACATACTTACGTTTCGGATGCAATTTTAGCCTTTATTTACCAGAAAATTTTTTTAATCTTAATGTTAAAAACAGAAAATTCAATAATCCATGGTATAAGGTTATGGTAATGCATTCACTATATATGTTATATAAACATTAAATTTGTGATTAAACAATATTTCACAAAATATTAACTTAGAAAATTACATACATTAAACACTTACTATTTGCGTTTTTTAAGCGCTTACCTAGAAATTCCGTTTACCACCTATAATATTTATGAAAATATTTTTTTGTGAACACCGATATTTTTTTTAACGGTTTATGAATTTTAAAAATTGGTTCAAGATTTTTGGGTAAAACGTGGACAAAAATTTTAGCACTTTTTTGCTCGGCCAATTGTTGCGTAAAACAAATCAACGCGAGTCCAAATTTTGGCTCATATACATACACACATATTTTTTCCTATTTGATCCCAAACCCGAATGATCTGCGGTCTCAAACGGAGAAAACATAAATTTAGTTCTCCTTAGGGAAGTTAAAAACAGTTAAAAAGATTTTAAATTGTTTAGCTTGATGATGAATAAGTTTGGGTTATTTAATTTTGTTAATTTTTCTGATTATTCAAATAGAACTGAATAAGCACAACGACGTAAGTGACGATGGATCCAAATATCTATAAAAAAATTCACATATAAAAATTAACAAACTTTTTGAACAAATTGGTTTATCAATAATATACCTACCGAAAAAATGAAGCTGGAATTGAATCGAAATAGTCCTCCAGCTGTAAAGTGTACGTTGTAGTGAATCAATTGTAAAGACCATAATTCCATCTGTAAAATGCATTATAGTAAGCGTCAATTATTGGTAAATTATATTGTATGCATGTTTTTCGAATATAAATATATATTCAATAATAATAATAATTTAGGATGAAAGGAAGTATAGATAATTTTATGATATGGAACCAATGTATAAAACTTAGTGACGTATATTTTTAATTTTTTTTAAAATATTAATAACATTCTCGTTTACATTATATGAAAAAAAAATCCAGAAATGAACTAAATATCTCAATAATTCAAAAAGCATTGCGGTGGTAAATAATGGTGTTTGCTTAATACTTGTTAATATCATTCATAACTACAGATAAAATATAATTAAACTAACATATTCTATAAGTTATAAACTAGTCACATTAAAATCAGGGAAAAATTATTAATTGATTCATATATAAACTTATTTGCATAAAAAGAGCTAAGACACATTGATACAGTCTCAGAGCATCGGCCGCGGTGTCAAATAATAAATAATACTTTTGCACGCTATCAAAGTGATTTTGTTTATAAAATTGAACATATCAAAATTTTCACCATACTATCAAGATGTGCAAAATAGTCTTGTTTTTACAGCCTTTTTTCACGTAAATATAATGATTTTTAATCCAATTAAAAACATTTTAGACTATATAATTTATAGGAAATTGACTTTGGAATCGCTTTTTCAAATTTCAACTACTGGCGGAGAAAGTGATTGAAATCTCAAAAAAAAAAAACTAATCTATAAATCTTTTTGATTATGTTGTCATTGCTCAAATTAAATCGATTTTTCTTTTCAGAAGCAAATTGATGATTACCTTTCACTAATATATTATGAATAAAAAAGCAGTCTAATTAATAGAATTTTATTACTTTTGCATTTG